GTGTATGCGGAAACGAGTACATTTTCCGCGAGGTATGACACACGCTCGACGAAGCATAAGCGAGAACAAAGAGTCTCAAATCCGTGTCGAGCGTCGAGATTCTTCAAAATTAGTCGCGACAACAGAAAATCATTTTTTATAACGCCATAGCGTGGAACAATTGCTGGGAGCAACTGGTGCTAACGGAACGGTTCGTGACGGTTTCCGATTTGTCATCGCGAGAGATTTTTATATTTTGTATGGCGAAATTATCTTGAATTATCGCATAGAGTTCTTTTAAGCGCGTTAGCGAGATATCACTTTTTTACGGTCAGATATTAATGTCACATTCAAGTTTCGAATGAAGGCGGTTAACGAGCCACGTCTCTCGCATTGTATGAAAAATTGACTTAGCGTGATTGGTAATTCTATTCTGTGGGGCTTCGTTTGCGGAGATGCGCCAATTTAAGTATTATTGCGGGAAAATGGGAGCCAACGTGGGTAGGGCGAGCGGACGTAGGGCAGGTCGATTATTAGAGGGCATTTACTTCGATCAATGGAATAATTACGTCGCATTTTGTCGCTTATTGGTTTATTGGACTCGGCAAAATCGAACAGCGTACACGAATACGCGGGCACTGACGCGGGTTGCCAATATCATGAAAGCTAGTCCTCGTGCTACATTTAAACGTCTCCTTATAGTAGCGGAAGTAATGTTGCTCACCGACGTATTAACAAAAGGAATATTAATTAATAAACGAGCGCAGTGGAGAACGATGGCGTTGCATTTTATATATTATTTCATGGCATAAATTTTAAACTGTATTGAAAATAGAAAATTAGGTAAGAATACTGATCTTTGCGATTGTGTTAGAAAATTGTACTGTTCGAAAAATTACACTCTTTTGGGGAAAGGATTTACCCGCTAAAATTGTGAAAATTTACAGTCTGAATTTATTAAAGCCTATAATCGGTTGATTTTTCTTTGTCCAGGATTGCGCGAGGTCGAGTGAGGACTGATTGAAAAGAACGCACATCGGTATGGAGCTTCAAGGAATGACGTCGTAATCGTTTTTCGTAAGTAGAGCTTACTATATCATAGCATAGGGCAGTTACATAAATAGATTGCGTTTCGTTACCTTCGCTCGTACGCGGTAAGGAATGCGCGCGGATAACGCGGAAACAAGCTTGCGGTGGATGAAGAGCGCGGAATTAGTTTCGTTAGCCGGATAGCCAGACGGCGGAGATTTTACGTTGTTGCGCGAGAAGCGGTATCTACGCCGGATAGCATTACGTGACCGAAATTTCTAACGTGCCCGCACATAAATTTCTCCGCGATTATTCGGTGAATCCTATCCCAAGGACTCTTTGTCCTCTCGACGGCACGGAACGAGCGAAACGATAAAACCGCCCGTCCGATAGGAAGTACTGTTCCCGTGAGCGAAATGCGATATTACCGCGATTTCTTCGACCCTAGTTATTCGCTATTTGGAAAATTCTCCATGGTTTTTTTGTTGTCGCGGTTGGTTAAGCTCCGCGAGGAGACACGACGAGACCTCGCGTGGCGCTACGATAACATGAAAACCCAAGTTCAAATTTCGTGCACACGTATGCTTATGTACATACATGTATATGTGCTATACATCTCTTTCCACGCAAATATAATGTTTCATATACTTTCATCATTTCAGTTTTACCGTTACACGCGAAGCCATACTAAATTGTACTTGTTGCAAAAATGAAAACGTGAATGCGTTACATAAAGTGGCAGGAACGTTTCTTTGTCGCAGTACGTTATATTTCATTCGCGATGAATTCATAAATGATTTTTGCTCAACGTGAGCTCGAAGAAATTTTTATCATTAAACATTTTGATAAAGATATATGTTAAATAAAGATTTCACACTATTAAAATATTGTTTATTAAAAGTTAAATTAGAAAGATTTAAATTAATTAAAGAATAACATTTTATTATAATTATTATTTTTCAAGCTTTATTCGCTGAAATTCTCTCGCTTTTTTTTATGTGTTAAATACAAGATTTATCTACAATTACATGGCGCTTTTTAAATTTGATATATTATAGATTTCACATGTATTTTATGTATTCAGAAATCAGAGGATCTCGTCTGATATCCGTCCCCTAAGAGCTATGTCAGAAGAGATCGATAATTAAGCGCTCACGCGTACTTGATCGCCGTATCGTTGCGACGTCTATTCAACGCGTTCATAAAAATAACTTGCTACTGCGTACGACGCGCTTTTAGTCCAAAGTGCTTTTTGTTCCTGCAGCAGGATATGGGCTTCTTTGTACCGCGGTCAGCCGTTGATACCTTTCGAAGTTGCTACGTAAAGCTTTTCATCGACCCCTGTCTCCCTTCGTGGTGCTCCGAGCTTTTATGAATCGCTACAGCTACAGATACAGCACAGTGGCGCGACCGGAGGAGGGGCGGGGGAGGTGAGGGAGAGTTCTTTTCACGAATCGTTTCTAGTAATTTGACACTTTCGAAATGAAAACGATCGTTAAAAAATATCGTCAGACAATGCGGATAGTTCGCGTCTCGCTTTTCTTAATACTCTATACTTGTATTGTTCTTTTTATATCGCTGGTTCATCTCATATTCCTTTACATCGATCCGTTCGCTAACGGCAAAAGAGATATTACAACGGTTGTTAGAGAAAAAAGCCTACATGGTTGATAAAAAGATGGTGTTCAAAGTTAAATTTTTCTATAAAAGATAATTTTTATTCTCGACATGTGTAATATTGACTAACACGAAAGCGCAATTATTTTATAAAATATCCTACAGAGAAAATATGATTTATGCATTTATGGACTGTTATTTGAATGCAATTAACAGTAAATGGAAATGATATTTGTAGAATTTCCTTTAGTTTTCAATCGATGCAGGGGTTTACATACGTATGGCCGAATAACTAGTGCAAAAAGTTAAAGCATCAAACTGTAATTTCCGGCAAGCAAAGGACGTGTTTACCGACGCCCTACGGTATGTTTGCGCAACCGAGTCGTCTTGATGTCGCGGATGCGTTTTATTACGCGGCGAGTTCAGAAAACGCAATGAAGACACGATAACGTTTCGTCGCAATAGGTACCGAGCGATATCGCGACAAATGTCATTGCTCCAGTATTCGCCCGATATTCGCCAATACATGAACGTAGAACATAGAGCGTCGAAATCGATCTGCACGATCGATTTTAATGCAATTTCCATCGGCGCCGCGTCGTGCTCGCCGGTTGCGAAGCGCACACAGATTTCCTGTATCAAATCGCTCGCCACCATCGAAATCGACATAATTCTATCGGCGACGCCGGCAAAACTATGAGAGAGCGAGCTTTCCAAACCCGATAATAGAAGGGGACTTTCACTTAGTAAATTGGACTATCCGGTAACTCCATCTCTGAAATCGGCATCTCGGAGAATCCCCAGCAATCGTCTTTCCCACATCAGTCTTATATAACGTAATAAAAAACCAGCAATCTCACCAGCAAAATGCTATTATCGAATAAGAAATATCGTGAGAATATATCCCTTGCTATATATTTGGAAACACATTGTGGCGTAAATCAATTTGCGAAACACAATAGATTTAAGAGATACATCTACAGATCGATACTACGTAACAAGATGTTTTTACCGTACTCTCATAACTTGACATCGTTTTCAAGATACAATAGTTTATTTCTACGACATCTCCCTCGAGAGCTTAAATATTTTTTATCGATAATTGATTCTCTTTTTATGACAGGTTCAGGCTTCATTTGTTAGACTTCGAAGAAACATATATATAGCAGAAACAATTTGACGAATATTATTTTCCTGCGTATTTCTGCAATTATAAATTTTTTATTTTTTTTCTATATTTCGTAAGTAATATTTCTCGCATTACTTTCCTCATGGAAAGAAGTTTTTGATTTTTTGCCAAACCAAATAGAATTGTACACGAATTGATATGAGTCAAAACATACTTCTACATATATACAATCTGAAAAATTAAACGCGCCAATGAAACTGCATCGACGCATGTGTTCAAGCAGTTATTCGTACATTATTCTCTCTTTACATTCAGCGAGAGAATGGACTGGATTTCTGGTCGTTTCTTTTTTAAGATACGGTTTATCGATCGTAACGAGTGTACCGTGAACGTCCCAACAAACGGCGACGGGAGTCACCGCTCAGAGCTTTCTCTCTCCACTGGTCGGCGCTTTCGCGTAGCGCCCTTGTTCCGTGACACTTTGGAAATTAAATTTACGAGAAATAGCGCTTACTTCGTTCCAGGCGCACGCGCCTGGAATCGTAACGAACGAGTTTTGTGCGAGTAGTTAGCGTTACGGACGGGGATACTGAACTATTTTCCACATAAGAGATGCCCGACTCGTTAAATATGCAACGGCGATGTGTGAATGCATGCGTTTTATATCCCGCTACTTCCTCGAAATCTTCGCTTTCAAAGTGATCGTCGGAAAAATGAAATCGGACACTCCTGGTCGAAAGCAAAAATTCCCGGAAATATCAACCATCGCGTGTGTAAACGTTCCACTCTGCTCAGCTACTAGACAAACAGGTATAATTAAAATAATCACGATAATTACTTTTATCTTTGCGCGGTATCTGCACGTGTTTCTTAAGCTGCGCGTAATATTTATTATCTTACTTCAAATACTTGTCAGAATAATATCTTAAAAAAGAGAATATAGCTCTGTTGAAAGGTATATTACCTAGTATTTTGTCACAAAAAGTGCCTTATTCATGATATCCGATATTTCCTCTTCGACGCTCGCGTTTTATTCCAATAAATGCAGAAAAAGAGAACTATTAAAACTCGAGAGTTTGCATTTTGCTGGAAATACTATGTCCCTTTGACAATACTCATATTTGTCGAGCGACTAAGTAATTTATCCAGTGCAAATAAGCTTGGAAAATAGGCTAAAATTGATATATATATATAGATATATAAAAAAAATATATATATATAATATATTATATATATAATATATATTATAATATATTTTTTTAAGCAAAAATTTCAGGGAAGAGTCAATAATTTGTTGCAACTTTTCGATATTAATTATCTCGATAATAAAATCTCGGATTCAAAGACGTATTGTTAGTTTATTACGTAGACACAAAAAAATATTATATTTGAATGCACTTCAGAAACTTAATTTCTAGGACGTTCTTTTTTCTTTATTGTTTATGACTAGCTGTGGATACTTTGTCATTTTCATCAATGGTAACTAAATTGAAGAAATTTGCCAGTTTAAGAATAGAATTTCCGAGAAAGTTATATACAAACAGAAACTCTCTCAGAAATATATTTAATAATCTCTCAACATGTTTATTAATAACATCATTCACACAATGTTTTGCTATGTATACATTTATTCGGTTTATTTCGAAAATCGCATTACCTTGATCATAAGGTACAGCGGTCTATGCGCTTTACACGAACTTGATAGAATTTTAGAAAGACATTATATCGGAGTATCATATCGGAACAATACGAGGAAGCTCACTTGGGAGTGGCCGCAGTCGAGAAAACTGCACAGAAACTCCCCGATGAATATCCAAACGAAATTTCTTCTGACAAGCGAACTATGCTGTCCAAGGAATGCTGCTTTGGGTCAAAAAGATTTTACGGAGTGTTTTATTTTCTTTGAGAACGCATGTACCACTGAGTGGAAGAAAGCAAAGCGGAAGGAGCGCCAGTGAAAACGGCAAAAACTGCGAAAGGAATAGGACGAACGACAGTCAATGACTGGTGTTATTCGAACCTAATCCGATATTGAGGAAATCCCCTGCTTCCTCACAAATATGATCACATTCTGCGTACAACTATTTTGCTTCGTATTTCGCTTTCAGGGTGTAGAAAGTATATTATATCGACCAGGAGTCTCTATATTAAACGTATTTTTATCTAAATAACATATTATGAGTACAATTACGTGCAATTTATCGTCATTCTCATCATAGGATCTGGCATAAGATAGAGAAGACAGACTCTCTTGTATTCTATTCGTCTCCCAAGTCCCAACGCAGTAATAACATTTATTTAG